GTTAAAAAAAAAACAATGTCTATACTTTAAAGTACTTTATTGCTAAAAATAAAAAAAGGAAGTAGGATGAACCCTTTAAAAAGACAAACATAACTTTTTAAAAACAACAAAGCGCTAACGTCATAGCAAGGAATTACCTGACCGAGCCTCAGGAGCAAATAGGACTCAGAGAGTCCAGCAAAAGGCAACCTTTTGCATGAGTGGGTGAATGGGATACAAACTGTGTGGCTGAAATGCACTTTTAGGGGTCTTGTGAGGTTAAGGGGACAAAAGTTTGAGTTCAGGAATCACTAAGAATGGAGATCCAAATAAATTACACACACATCTTCAGCTGGGACCTTAATGGATTACAATCTTGGAGTAAGGGTAAATCTAAGGTGTATCACATACACTTGAAAATTTCCATCAAGTAGTCTGGGTGGCTCAAGGAATCTTGACGCTAGGACTTGGAGTAAGGTGGTTTCAGACTGCTAGTGTCCTCATGAATTTGATAGAATGAAACAAAAATCTTACAAGCAGATGACAACATCTTAGCTCCCAAATTATTTATATTGTACAAACAATTTTTCAAATGCACTGTCCAGGATTCTATCAACAATAACCTGGCATACAAGGAGAAAAATATGAGTAAGAGAAAGCAGAAACAACAGCAAGACCAGACCACAGGCAGTCTGTTTATACCTCTGTGACTTCACCCCTCACACTGTGTTGTTATTATTTATCTTTCTTTCTCAGTGGGGATATTTCCTTGTTTCTTCCCCATCAGTTATTCCATTCTTTTCCCTTCCCTACACTCTTGATTTCAGTTCTGATTATAATGTGATACTGGAGAGGTCGACCCTCTCACCAGCTGTAGGAGTAGGGCATATGAACTATCCATGGAATCTCTCTTCCTGTCCACAGGATTGACTCAGGGGTTAGCATGTGAACTAAGACAGTCCAGTGGATGAGTCCCAGCCTGTCTGGAAGAGAATGCTGATATACAAACTTTCTACTCTTGAATAGAGAAGCATGTCCATCTAAGAGCTGCTGGCTGCAACATAACTCCAGGTTGAAATCAATGCTGTGGAAGATCAAACTAGAAAGAAATCAGGCCTTAAGTGACATTGTGAAGCTGCTAGATCAAGGTTCAGCTGTAGCTAGACCTGCTTCTAGAGCAGCATTGATCAATAGAAATATAATGCAAGTCACCTGTGAAAATTTTCTAGTGGCCACATTTAAAAAGTAAGAAGTCTTCCCTGGTGCTCCAGTGGTTAAGACTCTATGCTCTCAGTGCAGGGGGCCCCAGTTTGATGCCTGGTTGCTGCTGCTGCTGCTGTTAAGTCACTTCAGTCGTGTCCGACTCTGTGCGACCCCATAGATGGCAGCCCACCAGGCTCCCCCATCCCTGGGATTCTCCAGGCAAGACCACTGGAGTGGGTTGCCATTGCCTTCTCCGTGATGCCTGGTTGGGGAACTAAAATCCTATAAGCCACATAGCACTGCCAAAAAAAGAAAAAGGTGAAATTCATTTTAGTAATATATTTTATTTAACTTAGTATATCCAAATACTATCATTTAACATATGTAATAATTATGTTACATATTAACATATGTAATAATGTAAATAATTACTAATGACTAGCTTACATTCTGTTATTCATGCTAAGTCCATGAAATCTAGTGTGTATTACACTAAACAGCACATCTCAACTCAGACTAGGTATATTTCAAGCACTGAATAATCTTGTAGCTGGGGACCATCAAAGAAATCTAGAATTTTCCTTTATTGAATCAGTATATATCCTTAGAGCAAGGTTTAACTGCTTTGTGCGTGCATGCTTGCTAAAGTTGCTTCTGTCGTGTCCAACTCTTTGTGACCCTATGAACTGTAGCCTGCCACGCTCCTCTGTCCATGGGACTCTCCAAGCAAGAATACTGGAGTGGGCAGTCATGCCCTCCTCCAGGGGATCTTCCCAACCCACGGATCGAACCCATGTCTCATGTCTCCTGCATTGGCAGGCGGATTCTTTACCACTAGCACCACCTGGGAAGCCCTTAACTGCTTTATTGATATATAATTTATATACCATTAAATTCACCCACTGTAAATGTACAGTTCTAGGCTTTTTAATAGAACAAAAGTTGTGCAACCACCACCAACCTCCAGTTTTAGAACATTGCCATCAACCACAAAATTTCCCTTGTGCCCCTTTGTTGACACTCTCTACTCCCATCCACAGCCCCAGGCTGCTTTACTTCTTTCTGTACATTTGCCTTTTCTGGAATTTCATATAAATGGAATCAAGTAATATGTAGGGTTTTGCCTCTGGCTTTTTTAACTTAATGTAGTTGGTGTTTTTGAGGTTCCTCCATGTTTTAGCATAATTCAGTACATTTCTTTCTATTGCTCAATAATATTCTAATGTATGGACACCCATTGTGCTTATCCATTCACCAGTTGATGGACATTTGGAATGTTTCCACCTGTGGGTGATTATGATGAAAGCAGCTAGAACATTCTCGTCCAAGCCTTTTAATGGATATGTTTCCGTTTCTCTTGATCGAGTCTTAGGAGTGGAATTCCTGGGTCATATGCTAAGTTTATATTTAACCTCTTAAGGAACTGCCAGACTCTTTCTTTCTTTTTTCTTTTTGGCCTCGCCTGGTAGCTTGCCCCAGGGTCTCATTTCCCCGACCAGGGATTGAACCGGGGCCCTCAGCATTGAGAGCACGGAGTCCTAACTACTGGACCACCAGGGAATTCCCAAAACTCACCCTTTCAAAGCACCTAATTCAGTGTTTTACAACTATCACTACTAATTCCAGAACATTTCCACCACTCTAAAAAGAAAATCTACACCTGTTAAGTGGTCATTCCTCATCCTTACTTCCTTTCCCCAACTCCCTGGAAGTCTACTTTCTGTCTTTATGGATTTGCCTATTCTGGACATTTTATATAAATGGAATTATGTAACATGTGGCGTTTTGCATCTGGTTTCTTCCAGTGAATGTAACATTTTCAAGTTTTATCCATGTTTAGCATGTATTAGTACTTCATTCCTTTTGTTTGTTGTTGTTTAGTGACTCAGTTGTGTCTGACTCTTTGCAATCCCATGGATTGTAGGCCGCCATGCTCTTCTGTCCATGGGATTTCCTGGCAGAGAATACCAGAGTAGGTAGCCATTTCCTCTTCAAGGGGATCTTCCTGACACAAAAATCAAACCCACGTCTCCTGCAAGTCTCCTGCATCGAAGGCGGATTCTTTACCAGAAACTCCTGCGGAAGCCAAGCCACTTTATTCCTTATTAAGGCTAAATAACACCCCATGTATAGATGTTGTTGTTGTTCAGTCACTAAGTCGTGTCCGACTCTTTTCGACCCCATGGACTGCAGCACTCCAGGCATCCCTGTTCTTCACTGTCTCCTGGAGTTTGCTCAGATTCATGTCCATTGAGTTGGTATACCATATTTCATTTATTCATCCATTAGTTGATGGACATTTGGGTTGTTTCTACTTTTTGGCTACTGTGAATAACGTTGCTATGAATATTTGTGTACAAAGTGTTTGTATGGACATATGCTTTTAGTTCTCTCAGGTATACACCCAGGAGTGAAACTGCTGGATCGTAGGCTTCCCTGGTGGTTCAGATGATAAAGAATCTGCCTTCAATGTTGGAGACCAGAATGGGTATGGAAGATCCTCTGGAGAAGTGAATGGCTACCCACTCCAGTATTTTTGCCTGGAGAATTCTATGGACAGAGAAGCCTGGCAGGCTACAGTTCACAGGGTCACAAAGAGTGGGACACAACTGAGCAACTAACAGTTTCACTTTTTTCATGCTAAGCCCATGTTTAACTTTTTGAGGAACTGCCAAAATGTTGCACTGTTTCACATTCCCATCAAAAATGCATAGGGGCTCCAATTTCTCCATATCTTTACCAACACTTGTTAACATCTTTTTTCCTTTTTACAGGCAACTGGTACTTCTTTTTTCAGTGTGATAAAATAATTACATAGCTTAAAATTTATCATTTTAGCAATTTTAAGTGTATAGTTCAGTAGCATAAGGTACATTCACATTGTTATACAACATTTATCAACACCATTCCTCTCCAGAAATTTTTCATCATCCCAATCTGGAACTCCATACCTGTTAACTCCCATTTCCATTCTCCCCCCACTCTCTGGGCCACCACTGTACTTTTTGTCCCTATGAATTTGGCTTCTTTAGATAGTTCATATGACTGGAATCATGAAATATTTATTCTTTTGTGACTTGTTTGTTTCACTTAGCATAATGTCCTCAAGTTTCATCCACATTGTCGGATGTGTCAGAATTCCTTTCCTTTTTAAGGAGGAATGATAGCCCATTGTATAGCTATATCACTTTTGTTTATCTATTCATAAATCTGGATGGACATTTGGGTTGCTTCCATTTTTTGGCTGTTGAGAATACTGCTGCTATGAATGTGGTGCTTTCAATTCTTTCAATTTGGGGTATATACCCAGAAATGGAATTGCTGGATCATATGGTATTTCTGTTTAACTTTTTGAGGCCTAGAGCCACTTCTATAGGACAGGGGCCACCACTTAAGGACCCATGGCCCTTTAAGTTCCTACCTTACGTTTGGTTGGGCTGTTTCCCTTTTAGAGGGTTTTCCCTTTGTGTGGAAACCACGACTCAGCCGTGTTTTGAGACGATTTTATTTACAATGTACTTTCATTGTTCAGAAAAGAAAATAAGAACGTCCCCTTTAAAGATTCATAAGGATTAATGGAGGGACGCGCCGAACAAAAAGGGGCGTGGTTACTGACGGACGCATTCAGCTGACTTTGCTCTTCTCTTCAGCCAAGCTTTTTCTCCTGATCGAAGGCTGCATGGGATGGGGAAGGCTCAGAGCTCTCATCCAAATTCTGGATGAGCCAGAAAAATAGGCTCTGGTTAAAAGCTGTAAAAAAAAAAAAAATTAAAAGTAGGTGTGTTGAGTCCATCATCGCCGCCGCTGCCGCCACCGCCATGGCTCAGTACAAGGGTGCCGCCAGCGAGGCGGGCCGCGCCATGAACCTCATGAAGAAGCGGGAGAAGCAGCGACAGCAGATGGAGCAGATAAAGCAGAGGATTGCTGAGGAGAACATAATGAAGTCCAACATTGACAAGAAGTTCTCTGCGCACTACGACGCCGTGGAGGCCGAGCTCAAGTCCAGCACGGTGGGTCTTGTGACCCTGAACGACATGAAGGCTAAGCAGGAGGCGCTGGTGAAGGAGCGGGAGAGGCAACTCGCCAAGAAGGAGCAGTCGAAGGAGCTGCAGCTGAAGCTGGAGAAGCTGCGAGAAAAGGAGCGCAAGCAGGAGGCCAAGCGGAAGATCTCCAGCTTGTCCTTCACCCTGGAGGAAGAAGAAGAGGCAGGCGAGGAGGAGGAGGAGGTCGCTGTGGACGAGGAGGAGCTGGAAAGGGAAGAGATCACCACAAAGAAGAGGAAAATGGGGAAGAACCCAGATGTGGACACAAGTTTCTTGCCTGACCGAGACCGGGAGGAGGAGGAGAATCGGCTCCGGGAGGAGCTACGGCAAGAGTGGGAAGCCAAGCAAGAGAAGATGAAGAGTGAGGAGATTGAGATCACCTTCAGTTACTGGGATGGCTCTGGGCACCGGCGCTCAGTCAAGATGAAGAAGGGCAACACGATGCAGCAGTTCCTGCAGAAGGCACTTGAGATCCTGCGCAAAGACTTCAGCGAACTCAGATCGGCAGGGGTGGAGCAGCTCATGTACATCAAGGAGGACTTAATCATACCTCACCACCACAGCTTCTACGACTTCATCGTCACCAAGGCTCGAGGAAAAAGTGGGCCCCTCTTCAGTTTTGACGTTCATGATGATGTGCGGCTGCTCAGTGACGCCACTGTGGAGAAGGATGAGTCGCATGCAGGCAAGGTGGTGCTGCGAAGCTGGTACGAGAAAAACAAGCACATCTTCCCCGCCAGCCGCTGGGAGCCCTACGACCCCGAGAAGAAGTGGGACAAGTACACGATCCGATGACGTGGCTGCAGTGTGGCCCCGGCTCCCTGCGGTCCCCTCCTCTGGTCCCCAGGACTCCGGGTGCTCGGCTCCCCGCTCCTAAGATGGGATCGGACCTGCTCAGCCCCTGCCCTGGCGCTGTTGTTTCTTGCCTCTTTCTTTCATGACACTTGGAGCACCCGATGTGTGTTTTGTCTAAAAACTTTTTTTGATCGAGCTAAAATTCACTTACAGTGAAATTCACCATTGTGATCATGTGAAAGTACACCACACGGGGGTATTGCGTACATTCACGGTGTTGTGAATCACTCCTGAAAGAGACCCCACGTCCATTAGCAGCCAGCCCCTCACACCCATTAGTCTATTTCCTGTCTGTTTGGATTTGCTTATTCTGGAAGTTTCTACAAACAGAATTATACAGTAAAAAAATAAAAAAATAAATAAAATAAAAGTAGGTGTGTGCTCTCCGCCAGACCGCCGCCGTGCCGCCATCATGGACACGAACCGTGTGCAGCCCATCAAGCTTGCCAGGGTCACCAAGGTGTTGGGCAGGACCGGTTCTCAGGGACAGTGCACGCAGGTGCCTGTAGAATTCATGGACGACACGAGCCGCTCCATCATCCGAAACGTGAAAGGCCCCGTGCGCAAGGGCGATGTGCTCACCCTGTTGGAGTCAGAGAGAGAGGCTCGGAGGCTGCGGTGAACTTGTGACTGGGTGCTGGATGTCTGGGTTGACGCCGTGGCCCACCAGGATGATCTGCTGTTAATAAAGCGTTTATGTCGTATGTTAAAAAAAAAAAGGTGTGTTTTACCTTGGGTACTCCCAATCAATGCCTTCCTCTTTCTCTAAGTATGGGAAGGTGTTTGGTGGAGTGGATGATATTGTACTTTTGTCAGGATATTTTAAGGACAGGGAGAGTGAGAAGTTAAAAAATTATATATGGTAGTAATAGTGATACAAATAATGATAACTGCCATTAACATAACAACCACTGCAGACTGTCTTTGAGGAGCAATGTTGCCCCCCCTGAGGACCACTGAGTTACCATAACCAACTGTCCTGGTTGGCCAGAGAGGAGGGTGGTTTCCTAGGACAGCAGATTTTCAGTGCTAAAACAGAGTCCCAGGCAAACTGGGATGGTGGTTCACCCAAAGGCTAGTCCCCCACTTCCTCGTTGTGCAACCCTGGGCTGGTTGCTTTACTTCTCTAGCCTGTTTCCCTAGAGATAATATTCTCAGAGATAATCATATCTAACTCACATATTTGTTGTGAGGATAAAATAAAATCTATGCATAAAGCATTAAGCCCAGTATATGGGACAGTAATAGCTACAAATACATGTTAGGAATTATTACCTAAATTCTTTTTTTTTTTTTTTTTGCTGCTGAAAGATCCAATAGCTTTATTTTTAATTGGAGCATAATTGCTTTACAACATTGTGTTTGTTTCTGCTATACAACAATGTGAATCAGCTATTTGTACACATATATACCCTCCCTCTGAAGCCTCCCTTCCACTCCTAAATTCTTATCTAATTTAATCTTTTAAGGTTTGTTTGTTGTTTTGGGGAGCAATTTTTATTTGTTTAAATGTAGAGTCCATTTACATTCATAAATTTAAATAATAAAAGCCAAAGATAAGGCGAGACTGCTAGAAAAGAAAATATTAAAACCACATAGTAGAAGAAAAGAATGAGCCCCTTCAAATCAAGACCAAGAGATTTCTTAAAGTGTGCATTCCTGGGGCCTGGATTAAGAGGGTGGGGCCATGGTTTACTTGGGGCTGGCAAGCTGAGCACTGGGTGCAGATGGCTCATCCTTCCCTGTTTAGAGTAGCTCCTAAATTAGATGATTTTATTACGTTCATTTTACACAATTGGAAACAGAGTCAAAAGCACAAAGTCTCCCAGCGCCCTTGTCAGCTTTTCCAGCACTAGCTGCTAGCCATTCTAATTTTGCTAGAGGACCACGAGGAAGAGTTAGAAATTACAAGCTTGGATATCACAGCCCAGCTGCTTGCCCTGTATTCCAGAATCAAGGGAGCCTTTAGGAGTTGAGTCCAATCCCTGGCTTTACAAATGGAACCATGAGGCCCAGAGCTGGAACTGCTGCCCCCAGCATCCAGCTACTGGAGAAGAACCCAAGTCACCCCACTCTCAGTGAGGTGTCCTCTCTAACGTTGGTCAGGACCAGATAGACTGTGGTCCCTGGACAGCTCACTAGACCTAGGGACACAGGCCTGCAATGGGCAAGAATGAATATAGGCAACGTCCTCAAGTCTACATTTCCAAATGGGCTTGTTTTCCCACGTGAAGTTGTGTGCACCGACTCTGAGGCGGTCCACTGTCTGCCTGCAGGAGTCTGAAACAGGAAAGAGAAGGCCTCAGTGCACCTGTGTGTCAAGGTCTACAGGTGAGTCCAGGTGCTGAACTCACCAGTCTCTCTCCTCCCCTTAAGATACTAGAAGCAAAGCTACTCTGGCAGGAAAATCCAGAATGGCCTACTAGAAGTGAATTTCTCTCTATAAGACAAACTCTGTAAGATGGTGAAATGCTTGGCCTGGCCTGCAAGACAGGGATGGGAACCCAACCTGGTTGTGGTTCATGGGAAGCTCATCTGGGCTGCGCACGATCAGACCACAGAGTGCTTCCTTGAGCAGGGAGGCCTCCATTTCACCATCATACCAAACTGGCATCTGGCCTTTATATTTACTTCTTTGGGGTTTACTTCCTCTGGGCCCTGGCACCTATAGGCAGATTGCTCCTTTTATTTTTATTTTTTGTATACATGTATGCATTTATTTATTTTGGTTGTGCTGCATGGCATGGTTCCACCACCAGGGCCCCAGCAGTGAAAGAGCCCAAGTTCTAACCTCTGAACTACCAGGGAATTTACCAGATTGCTCTTTTTAAAATGCAAATCAGGTCTCGTGGCTCACCTGTGCTCACAACCCACCCAGTGCTTACCTGTGCAGCTCAACCTGCACCCCATCCTTCACAGACCCCCTTTTGTGCCTCCTCTAGACACTGGTCCAGCCATATTTGAGCTTTTTCAAGTTGCTTAGAGGTGCTACTCTCTTCACTTCTCTCTTCCCTGTTAACCTTTCCCCATCCCTCTTACTTAGTGTTATGCTGAATGCTGTCACAAATCTCAAACTTATCAGCAATTAACACAAAAAGTGGTTTTCAAATTCTCATGAAAAGCTTAACTGGTGTTCCTAGATGTCGGGTGATAGGATTGGGGGCGGGGTTGCCATTTTCCATGTGTGGCTTCCAAGATTGCCCTGGGCATTGACACAGCTGTGAGTACAGTGGGAAAGAGCGTTGGATGAGCACATGAGGAGGTTTTTATGGATCAGCACCCATCATTTCTGCTCAGGTTTCACTGACTAGAACTTAGCCACGTGGCCACAGTTAGCTGCAAGCGAGTCTGGAAAATATATTCTAGCTGTATTCCCAGGGAAGAAGGAATGGGTTTTTGTGAACATGTTGCAACACCATCCTTGAGGCATCAGTCTGGGTCACTTTTGTAGAAAGTAATTCCTAACTCATTGAGTGGCTCCTTGATTAAACCATCACACTTGGTACTCAATCCTTTTATGTCCCAAGTTTAAGGTAGGGTACAATAATTGTTTATTTATACATTTTTTTGCATTAGACCGTGCATTAGTTTCCTATTGTTTCTTAACAAATTACCATAAATTTAGAAGCTTAAAACAACACACACTTATTGTCTTACTGTCTAGAGGTCAGGAGCCTGAAGTGGGTCTTATTGGATTAAAGTCAAGGTGTTAGCAAGGCTGTGTTCCTTTCTGGAGGTTGTCGGGGAGGAACTGTCACCTCTCCTTTTCCAGCTTCTAGGGGCTGCTTACATTCCTTGGCCCATGGCCCCTTCCATCTTCAAAGCAATCACAGCATTCTGCCTCTAATTCTACCAGGGATCAAATCCATGTCCCCTGCAATGGCAGGCAGATTCTTGGTCTAACCACTGGACCACCAGGGAAGTCCTGTCTCCTTCTTGTGATTATATTGGGTCCACCTGGACAATCCAGGATAAACTGCCCAATTCAAGAGTCCCTTAATCCCATCTGCACAATCCCTTTTGCCATATAAGATAACATATTCACAGGCTCCAGAGCTCAGACCGTGGACATTTTTGAAGGGCCATTATTTTTCCCACCACAGACTGTTAGGCTCTGTAAGGACACTATGCAGGTACCCTTTGATGTATTGGGTGATGGAATGAGGGGAAGTCACAGCCCCTCAAGCTGAGCTCCGGGCTGTGGTGACCCTTCCAGGATCTCCCTCACCCCACTCCCTGCTGGTCTGTCACACAACCAGCAGCCCAACCGTCATCTTTCCTACTTTCCCATATGATGCGATTTATAAAGAATGTATAGGGCATGTCTTTCATGTCCCAAGGCAAATTTTTGAAAATCAATTTTATTGTGGTATAATATAATTGTGTGTGCATACGTGCTCAGCTGCTCAGTTGTGTCCAACTCTTTGTAACCCTAAGGACTGTATCCAGCCAGGCTCCTCTGTCCATGGGATTTTCCAGGCAAAGAATACTGGAATGGGTTACCATTTCCTTCTCCAGGGGATTTTCCCAACCTAGGGATCAAACCTTGGCCGCCTGTGTCTCCTGCATTGTAGGTGGATTCTTTACTGCTGAGCCATCAGGGAAGCCCTGTAATATAATTAATTCACTCATTTAAAAAGTCCACTGGGTTTCTCTTTCTCCCCCACACCACGGCATGTGGGAATCTTAGTTCCCCTACCAGGATTGAACCCGTGGCCCCTGCAGTGGAAACTCAGAGTCTTAATAACTGGACCACCAGGGAAGTCCCTGTCTATTGAATTTTGACAAATATATATATACCCATGCAACCACCACCATAATTAATATATGGTATGTGCGTTTACAGTTTGTTTTGCTGTTTTGGTGTATAGTTCTAAGTTTTAAGATCTGTGTAGATGTGTGTAACCATTACTGCAATTAGGACATTGAGCAGTCCCATCGGCCCCCAAAATTCCCCTGTGTTCCCTTTGTGGTCACAGCCTTCCCACTACCAACTTAACCTTTGGCAATCACTGATCTGCTATCTGATCCTATGGTTTTGTCCAAGGCAATTTCTAATCATGATTACCTAGGTAGACATTTTATTAAAAATAATTGCAACCTACGCCAACCTACGCCCTTAGCACAAAGAAGAGAGGATGGAAAAGATGACTGAAGAACTTCATCAGGACCACCGGCGTCCCCTGGCTGCCACTGGACTAGTTTTTGCTTGCTTGCCAAAGGAAGACAATGACCCAGTTTACCTCAGTCAGAAAATCACACAGCAGGAGTGAGGGAATCAGCTGATTTGGCATTTTCAATGGACTTCAAAGTTGAAAAAGATCTGTGACCTGCCCTGGAAACATGGTGAAGATGTGATGACTTCACATCCACTAGTAGGTTGCAGTTACAATTGCAGAGAAAGAACTAGATCAAATACCAGATACAACATAGAATTTGTCTTATTGAGGTGATATGCACATAACATAAAGTTAGCCTTTTCGAAGTGTATAATTCAGTGACTTTGAATACACCCACAGAGTTGTGTAACCACTACTATCAAGTTCCAAAATCTCTTCAACACTCCAAAAGGAAACCTCGCACCCTTTAGCACTCTTCCCCCACCCCCACCATTCTCGCTCCCCAGGCCTAAGCAACCACCAACCTGCTTTCTGCCTCTGTGGGTTTACTTCTTCTGGATATTTCCTGTAAGTGGAATCCCAAAACATGAACTTGTGTTTCTGGCTTTTCTCACTTCGAGTAATGTTTTTGAGCCTAATGTTGTAGCACATCATCACTTCCTTTCTTCTTATGGCTGAGTAATATTCCATTGTGTGGCTACACTGTTAATCTAGTCATCCATTAATGGACCACAGCACAGAACTTGCCTTTTTTTAGGCTTAAACATCGCTAAGACTATTTCTGCTTCTCAGAGCTTCATTTCAATATCACTCCCAGGGTCATGAGATGAGTTTTCCCATACATGTTCTTATGTAATATAACAGTTTTGTAAAGAAGGAATCACCCTCTGTTTTACAGATTCAGAATCTGAGGCACAGAAGGATGAAGTGGCTGGATGCAGGTGGGATTCCAAGCCTTCAGTCTCTCTTCATCCCTGCTGACGTCTCTGAGTGCAGATGACTGAAAACAAAGTCCATGTGGAAAGCAAACTCCTTGCGAAGAATTTCAATGCAGTCTAAACAAATGCAGAAAATCCTTGAATTCTGTGTCCTTCCACGGGTGATGCTGAATACCCTTCATGTCTCTTTCCAGGCAGACGGCCAGCATGCCAGGCACACAGCTCTCATCGTTGCCCTTTCTGATACCCTCTCATTACTTTTAATTGCATCTGAGTCTCTCTAGCATCTTGTATTTTGATTCCTAATCCAGGGCATTTCTCTGCCTCCCACTGGTCCAGCACTGCACTTTCCTCTCTCAGAGCTCTCCAGAGAAGTGCCCCCAGGAAAATGGAGTTGGTCTCCAGTAATGAATTCCTCTCTATAATGAATAGGATAATATCCGAGTCCCGGCATATTTACATAGCAATCTCCACACAAAAGCAACATTGCAAAGGGAAGATTTTTAAAAGAATGCCATCTCAGCTCCATTTCCTATAGTACTAAGAGCACTGTGGGAATTACCCTGACAAGAAGACAAAAAAGACTTCCAGGGATGCTGGGTTAGAGACAATAGCTACACCAACCCCATTAATGTTTAAAGTCAATGGAGCATAAAACTGCTTTTCTCTACTTACAGGCAGGCATCATCTTACAGAGAGAAGGGAAAAAAATTACCATTTAACTCTGCTGAAATCCATAAGACCTCCCCTAATTTTCATTCCCCTTGAAATTCTCTAGTAAGTATCAGAATGAAAATGAGAATCCTCTCTCTCTGGGGGCAACGGCTTTCAGTTCGCATCCATAAAGTATGTGAAAAGCCCTCCACAGAGATGCAGGAGAAGTCTGCTTGTTGGGAAAGGATCCGTCACCAAAACCTGCAGAACTAGTTGTGGGGTCACACCTTGGGATCTGGGAGGCTTTGGACTGACTTCAAACGATCCCAGGTCTCATAAGTAGGAGGCAGAATTCAGGGACCAGTCAAGTTCAAGGAAGTAATGCCTTGGGGGTACATTTTACTTAGTGGGCTGCAAGGGGGGAAATGTAACGTGAATGTATTAGCTGTTACCCTGAGGGAATCGCTGGAGTTAAGCCAGACCTCTGTTAGTAAACCACTGGACCTAATCCCACATTACTTTGTGTAATGCCTGACAAAGCCTGTTCCCATTATCTCATTTGATCCTGAAAGCAATCCTCAGGGGGAGGCAGGGCCAGGATTATTTTTTTCCATTTTACAACTGTTTTCACTTGTAAACTGATTTGCCAGAAGCCACACACCCAGACTTGACAGGAATGAGACGTGAATCTTTGTACAACCTGTTCAGGTCTTTTTTTCAATTGATCAAAATATTCCCAGTCACACCCAGACCTCACAGCCTTCGGCTAATCCAGGAGCTGGGAGCTCATCGGGGAAGAGCTTGTGTCCATAGTACCCAAACACCTCTGGCCCAGTGAAGAAATACAACCCTGTCTGCATTCCGCTGTGCCCAGCTGCTGGGTTCTGGGTGGGTGCAGTGTGTGGTGGGTGGGAGGGTGTGGCATCATATTATCTCCCTGCACTAGTGACCAAAATTAATCCAGATGGATTTGAAAAAAATCAAGACACTAGGAAAATCTCAGGAAAATAGAACTGAATATTTAATAACTTTCTGGAGGCCAGACTCTAAATTTAGTATTGTATTAAAAGTTTCAAAGGAAGGGATTTTACATAGATATGACTATATTAAAAGTTTAAGTTTTAGTGAAAAATAAAAAACTGCACAGGGCCAACAAAAACCGAAGAAAGAGTCACAGCAAAATATGAAAGAGAAGAGTTAATTTCTGGTATGTAGAGGAGTTACGCAAATACAAAAAAAAAAAAAACCTCAAGAGGAAAAACTTATGAGACAACTACTCCCCCGCAAAAGAAGTACATTGGTTAATAAACATTTAGAAAACTCCTCTACCTAAGTACGATCAAATAAACATGGAAATGAGTTATCCATATCACTTACAAAACAGAAAAAAAAATAACTGTAATACTCAAGTACTAGTGAAGGCACAGTGAATACCATATGCTTACACATGAATGGTGGGAGAATAAATTTACCCAACTGTTGGAAGGAAAGCAATTTGGTACATTTATTAGAAACCTTAAAATATCCATATCCTTTGACCTTAATTTCCATTCCTAGCAATATTTTCTTAGGAAAGAATCAACACGGAAAAAAGTTCTGCGCACAAAAATGTTAATCACATACTTATTTACAGCTGTGAAAGAAGGTAAACTGCAAACGTTAAAAGAGTTGTTCAATAATTCATGGCACAGTCATTTAATGGAAACTTACGTAATCATTAAATGTTCTCAAAGCGCAAGCAATAACACGAACACCGTTTATGGTGTAATGCTAGTGGGAAAGTGAATAACGCTGTATACGAATGGCTGTTTGCATAACACTTTTAATAGAAAAAGGCTGGAAAAGAAAAATTCTAATATGTAAAGCATGTTTGAGTTCTATGATTAGAGTTTTTTTTCCATTGCCCTATATTTCTACTTAAATCTTTTTTTTTTTTTTTTTTTTATGAACAAAGTCAGCTCTTCTTTAGCCAAACGGTGGCGCGTCTTTCTCTCGCACTGGGCCTGAGGGCCGGAAGCCTGGGCGGAGGGGGTAAACTCACAGACCCCACCTCAGGTCGATCAGCCCCGCCATTGCGACGTCGCCCTCCCCAGCCCCAATTTCCCCAGGCCCACCCTTTCCGAGCCTGCAGGACGCAGGGCCCGCCCCTCCCCCACCACTCCGGGTTCGGGTGACTGCGGGCGCGCGGGGGTGGAGCCGGGCCGGCCCTAGGCGTGCTGACACGTGGGGAGGGAGGAAGCGTCCGAGGAGGAGGGCTTGGGTGTGTGGGTGGGTGTGTCCGTGAGTGGGAGAATCCAATCTAGGTCTCCTCAAGAGTCTTCATTTTCTTGTGCTGCTGGTCGGGCCTGGGAAGTACGAAGTTCTCCCCACTCCCGGAATCCCCTCCTAGGCAGACACCGAGCGCAGAAACAAGAATGTTCCGGCTACGGCCCTGCGCTACCCGCGACTGCCTGCGCCGCGCCGCCTCCTCGTGTGTCCCCCCCCTCCCCGGCGCGGTGGTAGGGCCCGGCAGCGACGTCATCCATTGTTTACAAATCAACCTGAGCCAGTAGGATTTCGGCTCCCGCGGCTGCAGGCGCGCGGCGCGAGTCCCTGGCGGGCTCCGGTTACCTCCTCGGCCTCGGCTTTGGCTTCAGCACCACGCCTGGCTCCGCCGCGGCCCACCGACCCGCCGGGACAGCGTAGCTGCCAACGACTCCCGCACAACTCCGGGTGCCAGCGCGGGGGGCCATGCCGTGCCGGAGGGAGGAGGAAGAGGAAGCCGGCGAGGAGGAGGAGGAGGAGGAGGAGAGCTTCCTACTGCTGGAACAGTCGGTGACTGTGGGCGGCTCGGTTGAGGTGGACCGGCTGGTGGCCCAAATTGGCGAGACGCTGCAGCTGGACGCGGCGCAGGACCGCCCTGCCTCCGCGTGCGCGCCCCCGGGGCCGCCACTGCAGCCCCCGCGGCCCCCGGCAGCGGTGCGAGCGGACAAGGCCCGGTCCCCAGCGCAGCCGCTGCTTCTACCGGCCGCGTCGGTCGAGGCTGGGGGCCCGGCGTCCCCGGGGGCCTTGCGCTGTGCCCTCGGGGACCGCGGCCGCTTGCGGGGCCGCGCTGCGCCCTACTTTGTGGCTGAGCTCGCCGCTGGAGCCAGCGCGTTACCCGGGCCGTGCCGGCGAGGATGGCTGCGGGGCGCTGTCACCTCCCGCCGCTTGCAACAGCGACGATGGCCCCCAGCTGGGGCGCGCGCCAACGACGACGACCCGCACCGGCTTCTGCAGCAGTTGGTGCTCTCGGGGAACCTCATCAAGGAGGCCGTGCGGAGGCTCCAGCGAGCAGTCGCCGCGGTGGCAGCCACAGGCCCCGCGGGTGCCCCCGGACCGGGGGCCAGCCGCGGCCGACCGGACCCTGTCTCCCTTCAACCCTCCGGCGGCTTGCACTGACGCAAGGCCCCTGGGGGAAGAAAAAGAAGCCGCTGCGCGGACCCTACGGCGTCCTACTTACCCCAACCTTGAGCTGAAGCCGCCGTTGCCGTTCTTGGAGCGACCGCCTAGACTGCAAGGAGGCGCGTGGGGAGAGACCTCAAGCCGAGAAGTTACTGGCCCCGGTGAGGCTGTCGGAGAAAACTTGAGCGTGGAGAAATACGCGGGCCTGGTTGCGTTCGTGTCGCGTGAGAATTAACCCCGGCCCCAGGGACCTGGGACAAAACTGGGAGAACTATGGCAGCTATTTGCATCAACTTGTACCTGACTTAACACTTGGGGATGTCGTGTGCTAGGATTGTTTAAAGATTCGGCTTCAAGGGGCGAGAATCGCGAGGGCTTTATAACAATACTTGAAAACTGATGACTCGAATACATTTTCTTTATTTTCCGGTGGAGGAGCTTAGTGAAAATGGTGCTACAATCGCTGTGCAAAGAAATTCCAGAGAGAAGAAGAATGTAAAAGCTTGGTGGTGGGTGGGCTGGGATGACAGCCCCCTTACTCTCCCACCTCATCCGATGACTGATCGAGGTGGGAGATGGGAACTCCAGTGGTCTGGGGCAGGGAGGTGGAGAATTTTGAAGGTGGGTCGACTTGGATGTGGACTTTTAAATGCCTTGACCTTGCCACCTGTGATTCAAGGTCATGGTGTGCTGTAGGTGGATGGCTGTGGGGTTCCTAGAAAAGCTAACTCACCCCTGTGTCTGTCTTTTCTCTTGTTCCAAGAAAAGTCCTGTTTATGCTTTGCTACCTCTTGGAGCGGACATACAGATGTAAGGAGAATTACTTGTTTATTCTGTGCTTTCTTTCTATCCAGAACTCCTCCGGTGAGGCCACTCTTGGCCATGCCCTAAGCTTTCTCAGAAACAGTCATAAACAATCCCTTGAGTCTCTCCTGTCCTCCTGCCTGGCCTTTCTTATTCCACTCTTTCTGATGTCTGCACTGCATGGATGAGACCCTGGCTGTTTGTCTGCTCTATTTTGGCCCTCCGTGGAGCCATGAGCCTGAGTCTCTTGAGGGTCCTCACCTCTCTGTTGCCTCTAGGCACCAGCTCTTTGTGAGTGACAGAAACCGTGTTTTAAATGTGATTCTCCAAGAGGAGAAACTGCTGGCTTTACCCGTATGAAACTTATGAAACTTGAGGGCGCTTTAAATAAGGTGCCACCCCCAAATTTTAAGGGAGTTAAACTAACTTTTTTAAAAAAGATTCAATGGCTTGCTCATCCTTCAGATGTAGCTATTGACATACACTTCGCACCGGAGTGTCTGAAATTGTGGTGGTCCTGTTTCTAGGATTTCTTAATTAAAATGTCTGCTGAATAAATTGGGTTTTTGTTTTGGAGCATGGTTTGGCTGTTTGGTGGAAGGTGGGGGAAAGCACATAGGTGACACCTTTCATAATGAAGTTATAATGGAGAGGGCCCTTGAGGGAGTCGAGGTGGGAGGTGGAAACTGGTGGAGCTGCGGTCCAAGAGTGCTTCTGAGTCGATGTTCCACAAGATACAAAAATTCAGTCCAGGTTTTAGAAAACATGCTAGGTGGGCTTTCAACTCCCTTTGTGGAATAAAAACGTAGTCTAGAAATTTTCTAGGCTGGAGGGAGGACAGAGGCCAAGTGATTTGCTGTATCTGGAAGAGGGTGGAGGAAGGTGAGTTTTCTGAATTTTTTGTGTTTGAAGAATGGGGAGGGTATAGACAGAGCCTCCCTATTTTCACATTTGAGATTTGACCCAGTCTTGAGCTGTGGCCTAGAGAAAGGACAATAGGGTTTTATAGCAATGTACTTGGTAGTTGGTGTGGTTTGAGCAGGCATAGTTCAATTCATGAAAGTGGCCCTCCTGGATCCCCTGCTCTCCATCCCATCTTCCCCTGGCATGGGCCCCCTTCCCCCAAGGAAGCCTTACTTGGTACAGCCCAGCTCTGCTAACTAGCCCCAGGGGCACCTGTCCTGCCCAGCGCCTTTCCACGTGGGCTGCAGGGGAAGGCTAGTGTGCAGTGACTCAGTTTGACTCAGCCCTGCTGCTCACCATGTGTGTCATACCAGGCAAGTCACAGCTCTGCATTTTTCTCCTCTCATTTATAAAACAGTACTGCTAAGTGTAATGAGGACCTGAGATGTCTGGGACACTTAAGGGCTGAAAAAATGACAACTGTTGATTGTTGGAATCACCACTGCCCCTTCGTCCTTCAGCAGGCCCCATCTGTCTCTTCAGTGTGCTCCACGTGTCTTAACACTTAAGACACCTCTTGATCTCCACTGTGATCACAGTCATTGCCATCTCTTTTGCTTCCGTATTCTATAAGTCCCTTTTCCTGAACGCCTTCCAGAAGGCCATCTCCACCCACCTTCCAGATGGTCTGTCTCTGCTGTTATCATTATCGGGGTTGGCACTTGACACATGCCAGGTACTGTGCTGGGTATTTAAATCATCTCATGTCATGGCTTTACTATTTGTTATGATGTAGGCAAAATTTTCTCCATTTTATAAATGAAGACACTGAGGTCCAGGAGATTAAGTGATTTGCTGAAGTCACTACCTTTTAAGTTAAGGAGCTAGGGTTTGAACCTGGGCACTCTGGCTCTAGGTTCTCCTGCTGTCCTTAACCAGAGCTTCCAGTCATGCTGTGTACTATCTCCACAAGATGCTTTTACAGCATTTTCTCCCATGTTGGATTTATTAAATTCTTAAGAGCATTCCACAAAAACCTTGACCCACTAAATACCTCAACCCTGTAGCATCACCATTCTCACAAAATTTTCTTGCAGGCCAGCCACATACATGCAAGGCACTGGGGATCTGGGATGAGCCAAGGTTTCAGACATCCTGAAAGAACCTGCAAGCAGGTTTGGGGCTGAGACCTTCACATAAGTTAATAGGAATTGCGTTGAGAGGCACAGATAACCAATGGTGAATAGCTGCTCTTTTTATTTTTTAATTTTTTTTTCTTTTTTTCTTTTTTTTTTTTTCATTTATTTTTATTAGTTGGAGGCTAATTACTTTACATCATTGCAGTGGTTTTTGTCATACATTGAAATGAATTAGCCATGGATTTACATGTATTCCCCGTCCCGATCCCCCCTCCCACCTCCCTCTCCACCCGATCCCTCTGGGTCTTCCCAGTGCACCAGGCCCGAGCACTTGTCTCATGCATCCAACCTGGGCTGGTGATCTGTTTCACCCTAGATAATATACATATTTCGATGCTGTTCTCTTGAAACATCCCACCCTTGCCTTCTCCCAGAGTCCACAAGTCTGTTCTATACATCTGAATCTCTTTTTCTGTTTTGCATATAGGGTTATTGTTACCATCTTTCTAAATTCCATATATATGTGTTAGTATACTGTAATGTTCTTTATCTTTCTGGCTTACTTCGCTCTGTATAATGGGCTCCAGTTTCATCCATCTCATTAGAACTGATTCAAATGAATTCTTTTTAATGGCTGAGTAATATTCCATGGTGTATATGTACCACAGCTTCCTCATCCATTCGTCTGCTGATGGGCATCTAGGTTGCTTCCATGTCCTGGCTATTATAAACAGTGCTGTGATGAACACTGGGGTGCACGTGTCTCTTTCAGATCTGGTTTCCTCGGTGTGTATGCCCAGAAGTGGGATTGCTGGGTCATATGGCAGTTCTATTTCCAGCTTTTTAAGAAATCTCCACACTGTTTTCCATAGTGGCTGTACTAATTTGCATTCCCACCAACAGTGTAAGAGGGTTCCCTTTTCTCCACACCCTCTCCAGCATTTATTGCTTGTAGACTTTTGTTTTTTATTTATTTATTTATTTATTTATTTTTTTAATCACAACCATAGTGTATCTTTTTTTTTTTTACATGTATTCCCCATCCCGGTCCCCCCTCCCACCTCCCTCTCCACCCAATCCCTCTGGGTCTTCCCAGTGCACCAGGCCCGAGCACTTGTCTCATGCACCCAACCTGGGCTGGTGAACTGTTTCACCCTAGATAATATACGTGTTTCAATGCTGATCTCTTGAAACATCCCACCCTCGCCTTCTCCCAGAGTCCACAAGTCTGTTCTATACATAGGAGTCTCTTTTTCTGTTTTGCACATAGGGTTATCGTTACCATCTTTCTAAATTCCATATATATGTGTTAGTATACTGTAATGGTCTTTATCTTTCTGGCTTACTTCGCTCTGTATAATGGGCTCCAGTTTCATCCATCTCATTAGAACTGATTCAAATGAATTCTTTTTAATGGCTGAGTAATATTCCATGGTGTATATGTACCACAGCTTCCTCATCCATTCGTCTGCTGATGGGCATCTAGGTTGCTTCCATGTCCTGCCTATTATAAACAGTGCTGCGATGAACACTGGGGTGCACGTGTCTCTTTCAGATCTGGTTTCCTCGGTGTGTATGCCCAGAAGTGGGATTGCTGGGTCATATGGCAGTTCTATTTCCAGCTTTTTAAGAAATCTCCACACTGTTTTCCATAGTGGCTGTACTAATTTGCATTCCCACCAACAGTGTAAGAGGGTTCCCTTTTCTCCACACCCTCTCCAGCATTTATTGCTTGTAGACTTTTGGATAGCAGCCATCCTGACTGGCGTATAATGGTACCTCATTGTGGTTTTGATTTACATTTCTCTGATAATGAGTGATGTTGAGCATCTTTTCATGTGATTGTTATGGCTGCTCTTTTTAAAACCTGTGTCTTCTGTAAGGTGAGGGCATAAGGCCAAGATGGTGAGGTCTCATCCAAGGCAACTGTCTTCTGCATCTGCAGCATGGTCAGGAATGAAATTAGAATGATGACTGAACTAAAAGACCTGAAGATCTACAGGCCCTGACAAAGCAAGGTAGAGAAGGAAACAGCCCCATTCATGCAGAACTCTGCCAGGCACCTTTAACAAGAATGGCCCTTCACTGTTGACACAGGGGAGAGGTAGGAATCGTGGGTGGTAGAACAGAATCTGAACTCATGGCTCTTAAGCAGAATCTCTAACCTCCTTTCTGAGCCTACCCACACTTTTCCTCCTGAACCTCAGCCCCAGCTACTGATCAACCATTTGCAAAGGCTGTAGAGAGCTGAGTCCTGGGCCTGGGCCTGGGAAAGGGTCTCTGTGCAAAGGAGGCAATGGCCGTTTCACGTGTTGCAGCTTGGGCTAGCCCATTCCTAGTACTTGGCCCAGGGTGATTGTGGCTGGCATATTCCCAGTCCCTTGGAATAGATGGGCATAGAACTAAGGACATGGGCATGGGCAGAGCCGAGACAACTCTTATCTGCTGAAGGAGCTGAGGCCTAGGTTTCCCCGGTAACATTCTGCAAGTCTTGAGTCCAGAAGGACAAGGGCAATAGGGAAGTTGTAAGCAGCTGGTTGTGTGAGTGTGTGGTGGGGGGTTGGGGTTGATTAGGTGTTTCACGTGGGAAGTTACAGTGACAGCAGCCTGCCGCCTCATCGATGCTTAGGAGTTGGAAGAGCGATCAGGGCTGAAGATAAAGACTGGGTGCCTAGTGCTAAGATGGGTGGATGGAGCCTGGGACACGCTGTCGGTTGGGAAGGAAGAACACTGACCAGTATACACAGCACTTGACAAAGACTAAGAGTAGAACCCAGAAGCCAAGGAGGCTAAAGGGTGAACAGTAAGGGATGGTTGGGTGCTTGTGATCTCCACGCATGCACAGGTGCACACATACAAAAACATGCAGAGCTATAGGTACGTGATCTCTATATACCCTCCGTGGTCAGGTCCAGGGTGTATGGAATCAGCTTGCTCAGTGACCTTCGCTATCTTTCTTTAATCCTGAAGTTATTCCACTTGATCAGCACCTGTAGGCAGTGTGGTTTGAACATCTGCACTGAATCCTTGCCCTGCTTAACCCCGCTGCAGAGAAGTCCTATTTATGGTGAATTTGGAGAAAGGTGGTGATGTCTCTGGTGTACGGGGAAGATTTTCAGGAAAACCTAGGAAACCGAATCTAATTCAGACAGTAAAACAGAAATGGGCAAAAGGTAGGGCAAAGGTAACAAGGTGATAACCAGCTTGTGATACTTTTTTAACCCACCCAAATCAATAAGTCAAACAGACTCCCTGAACAGCCTATCAATGGGGAGTGGTGAATTTTACCTCCTGTGAGTCAATTAATTGAGGAGGGGGAATAGTTAATAAGCTCCTTGATATCAGATTTCGATTTCATTCTGCTGTAGAGTATGGTACAGAGAAGAAAGACTCGTTCACACAAAAACATATCCAGTCATCTCAGGCATGAAAGGTTATACAAAGTTGTTTCAACAGCCAACTGGTCCCCAGCCTCTCTGTGGTAGGATAGTGTGTGACTTAGAGTGCTATCACAGGGGACATCCACCTCTAATGTCCCCCTGAGCCCTGCTCTTCAAACCTATGCAGACTGAGCACCCCATCCCTTCCTATCTCCTTTAGGAGCCTCATCCTTTATAGTGTCTTCCCTTTAGTTTCTTCCTTTCCATGTCCTCTAGCTGCAGTTGGTCGAGCGCAGGTCTCTCCTGCTTGAGCAAACCTCTTGATTCTCATTTCCCTTTTTAGTTGCTGTCTCTCTTCATCCTCTCCAAACTCCAGACACCACAATTCATCGTCTGTGCCCCAAGCACTCTCTTAGCCTCCACAAGTCTGTTGAAATTGCCCATTTGTTTGCTTTGCAAATATTTACTAAATGCCAATACCCAGGTGTTGTTACTAAATGCAGCTATGTTTCAGGCAGTGGCCTAAACATTTTTACTACCATTAACTCAATGAATTCTCCCAACCCGATGAGGCAGGGACTTTATTAATTATCAGACTTGGAGGTGAGAGAGGTGAAGTAATCTGTCCACGGTCACAAGAAGGAGCTTTAAAAAAAAAAAAAAACTAGGATTGTGACCCAGGCAGAGACTTCATTTTAACAGCTACCTGCTACTGTGCTGAAGGCTATGCGTTCTCTTTCCGAAATGTGTCCCTTCTTGTCTTTTCCTTTCTCTCTGTGCCCAGACCCTCATCTCTTGATGCCTGGATGCTATATAGCCATCCAACCGACCATAAAGGCTCCCTCTCCACCCCAGTCCATCCACCACACTGTGTTGCCTGATAATCTGCCTGAAACTTGTCACTCCTGCTGTCAAAGAATAAAATAATCTCTTTGGAAAAAGAAGACATTCACATATGAACCCTTTAGATAACCCTATAATGACAGTAAATAAAATGAAGAGTGAGAACGAGATGAACTTGAAGATCACCTCCTTTGAAGACACTGCAGTTTTCTCAGTACAAATTATAGATGTGAGTGGACAGGGCAGGCACGAAGACCTTCAGCTTAGCGCTGAATTTGAATTAGAAGGGTTTCTGATGGTAATGGTTGGGAAGATCCTCTGGAGAAGGGAAGGGCTATCCACTCCAGTAGTCTTGCCTGGAGAGTCCCATGAAGAGAGGAGCCTGGCAGGCTACCGTCCATGGGGTCGCAAAGATTTGAACATGGCTGAGCAACTAACACTTTCACTGATGGGAATGGAGGATTTAAGAGCTGTGTACTCCAGATGCTGTCCCACAAACCCTTTCCTTTGTTAACGTTCCCTCCTGCCCCTATTGTACAAGTCTCAGTGCTGAGCTGTTTTCAAGCTTCCATTTGAAGACCTCCACCCTTTTCTGATTAAATCTCTTCTAGACAAGTATTCCCTTCCTCTACCCGGCCCCGGTTTCAATCCCTGGATTGGGAAGATCCCCTGGAAAAGGAAATGGCAACCCACTCCAGTCTTCTTGCCTGGGAAATCCCATGGACAGAGGAGCTTGGCAGGCTACTGTCCGCAGGGATGCAGAGTCAGACACAATTGAGTGACTACACCTACCCACTTACCTACCTACTTACACGTCCCTTAGCACTTTATACAACAGGAGTGCAGGTTTAAGGAACGTCTTATCCTCGGAGCAAACAGATTAATGCCTTTGAAGAAACAGATCGAAGAAGTCACTAAGAGGCAAGAGTTTTCCACAAAAGACTTAAAGTAGTAAACTTAATGGAGTAGCTTCCAGGAATGATGTCTACTATTAGAGTGAAATTAGAGATCTAATTTCAGCTTAACTCAGTTCTTCAAGGCAGGTGCTATTTTTTTTTTTTTAACTTTTATTTATTTGGCTGCACTTGGTCTTAGTTGCAGCACACAGGATCTTTTAGTTGCAGCACGTGGGATCTAGTTCCTTGACCAGGGATCGAACCCAGGCTCCCTGCATTGGGAGTGTGGAGTCTTAGCCACTGGACCATCAGGGACATCTCAGGGTAGGTGCTCTTACCCCATTTTGCAGATGAGTTCGTGGAGATGATTGAGGTTAAGGATCCTGTCTGAAATCCCACACTAGCGATGCAGAGCTGCCTGCACAGCCCACGCTCTTATCTATTACACCTCCTGGGAAACACTGTTATGGGCAGGTCATTTGTTCTCCCTTCAGTTATGGTTGGAAAACCAGGAGGAAGCGCTGCATGGGAGAGTTTTGCTGCTTTGCCTGCACCAGCGTCCTCGGTGTTCAAATGGAGGGCACCTCCCAGTAGAATCTCTAAATGAGGCGGTAGCACTAGACCACTGAAGGCTGAGCTCTCCCGGGGCTGACATTCTGTGATTACTGAGCATTGTGGAAGGGTGTGTGTGGGGGGGAGCTAATTGAGTGAGTTAGTAATTTGGTTGCCAGGGTAACTCTTTCCTGATTGGAAGGAAGGGATCACAGGGTTTGACACAGACTTTGCTGGATAGGAAAGTGGTGTCTGATATACTCTCCATGTTTCTGCTTCTGAGCTGGAAAAGGAAAGAGCAAAAAAATGGTAAAATTGAATTCAAATATTGTAGCATGTATGCCTAATTTAGAATGAAATCTTGGGGTGGCAGACTTTGGAGTTATTTGTGAAGTATGGCTTTCTTTTCTCCAAATCACTTATTTGTCAATTTCTGTGTTTTAGTTTATATAGTTTTTTTTTTTTTCATTGAGCTTTGGCCTTTTATCTTACCCAGGCCATTTTCTGTGGACAGCTGTCTTCATAGGATGCTGGACGTGAGAAAATGGTTACAACATACCTAGCTCAGCCTAGGTATCTGGGGCATGGTTTTCCATGGTTCCAATGGCAGGATCATCACATTGGATACCTGCAGGGGTGTCAGTCACATTATAGTATATGTGAGGAGCTGTGCAGTGAACAATATCGGACTGTGTATGATGGCATCAGGCTACTGGAAAGAGGACTGGACTGAGAACCCAAAGACCTGGTTTCTAGATTCTGTCAGATATTTGACTTTGTAAATGACTTTCTGCCCTGCCCCCTTCCAACTATTTTTCCACCTATGCCACTCAGTCATGTCTGACTCTTCATGACCCCATGGACTATAAGCTGCCAGGCTACTCTGTCCATGGGATTTCCTAGGCAAGAATACTGGAGTGAGTTGCCAATTTCCTTCTCCAGCGGATCTTCCTGACCCAGAGATTGAACCCAAGTCTCTTGTGTCTCCTGTTTTGACAGGCAGATTCTTTACCACTGTGCCACCTGGGGAAGCCCTTTTCTACCTATAAAATGGTCTAATTTTTAAAAATTATTATGTAAACCCTGACTTATCCCAAAAAAGGTCTTGGGGGTGACTATTAAGACCTTGCAGCATTTTAAAAAATGGACAGTGATGGTTATAGGGTTGTAGTGCAGTTAAGGCTTCCCCAGTAGCTCAGCTGGTAAAGAATCCGCCTACAAAGTAAGAGACCCCAGTTCAATTCCTGGGTTGGGAAGATCCCCTGGAGAAGGGATAGGGCTACCCTCTCCTGTATCCTTGGGTTTCTCTGGTGCCTCAGACAGTAAAGCATCTGCCTGCAATGCAGGAGACCTGGGTTCAATCCCTAGGCTGGGAAGATCCCCTGGAGGGGGGTATGGCAACCCACTCCAGTATTCTTGCCTAGAGAATCCCCATGGACAGAGGAGCCAGGCAGGCTACAGCCCATGGGGTCACAAAGAGACGGATAGACTGAGCCACTAAGCACGGTGCAGTTAAAGGACCTCATGGTAGGCACTAGTTTTCTCGTTTTCCTTTTTGAAGAAGGGGGCTGTACTATGTGAACCCTATAGTTGAATCTAGCCTTAACCATCTTTACAAGAAGCCAGCATGGTTCGGGCAGTGGCATGGTTCGGCCAACTTGGCCCTGGATTGCTCCTAACTCTTTGACCTCCAGGAATACCACCCCATGTTAAGAAGCAAGGATGTTAGGGCTCCTCCAATGCCAGGGGAAGTTGACACCTGATCAGTTTCCTCCTGCTCAGTGCCTGGGGGTGAGAGCCCACTGCATTATTGGAGCCCGCCCCCCACCCCTCTTGTTTGTATTAGAGCCTCCAGAGTCACCATTCCCTTGCTGGGTAGCACAGGACTGACTCCCCCACAACCCTTCCTGGGGAGGTTGAGGGAGATGGCTGCCTTGGTGTACTCTGCAGTTACCATTAGTCTGTGTGTGCATTAAACCAAGGACCCAGTCGATTGGCTACCAAGGGACAGTCCTGGGAAGGAAGGGGTAGGGACTAGCCTATTTTATCTCCAGGATGTGCCAGTCACAAGGAACTCATTTTCTTATCATCTCATTTCTCATCTGTTATACAAATGGGGCAACTGAAGCCCATAGAGGTTAAGCAACTTGTCCAAGGTCCCCATTTAATAAGGGGACTTGAACTCTGGATGCCCTGTTGTCCAGCATGGCTTTTTCCTGGAGGAAACGGATTGAAGTAACTGAGAACGGGAGGGATAGAGATGGGCTGTTGGGGAGAAACTGGGAGTAAATGTGCCAAGGGCAAAGAGAGGAGTCCCTTCATACCTCCCCCCCCCGCCCCAGGCAGGTTTCCCACTACAGGTTTGCACCCTGAGTAGCCCCTAACGAAGAGCTGACCCCAGCTCTTAAAAGGGCCACCTTGTGGAACAAGTCCACTTAATGACCACAGTAGAAAGAAAACGGCGATAAGCTTCCCAATCTGCAGTGACTGACTGATTTGATGTCCTTTGCTAATACAGTCAGGGGCAGCTTCTCCAGCACTGACTAGTAATCCAGAAGCTCTAAGGTTTTAGTGAATGAGACTGGTCCAAAACCTGACCTCACTTTCATTTAATTTCATGCCAGCACCAATACACACCCAGCCGGCGCAGACCCTAACTAGGGAGCTGCTCAGACACAAAGGCACTCTAATTACCATCCACAAGCCAGGCCTGACAAGGATTTCAAGTGTTTCATGTTTATGGAGATCAGAGAAATGTGTTCTGTGCATCTTTCCCACCGACAAGTATAAAATAAAACCAAACAAAAAACCCAACACATTTATTAAAAACATATTTCAGTTAAGTTAACATCCTATAATCAGGATAGCCACAATTCCAAACACTCCGGTGCGAAGTGTAGGTATGTCAATAGCCACATCTGGATGACGAACATGCCATTGAATCTTATAAAACTGAAACATCAACAATACCGTCTTAGAGCCTTTAGACTGCGTTAACGTTGTGTTACGAGCGCTTCACCAGGTTCACAATGGCAAATCCTGCAGCTTCTCCATTCGGAGGGTCACATTTTTTTACTCGGTTTCCTTCACTTACAAAGGCAAGCTGGCACGGCTGGGGGGAGGGGCAGAGGGAGGAAATCAACTCCATCTATCCAGGGAATTGCAGCTGTTATTGCAAATGGCCCCGGAGAGCCCATTATAAGCTGCTGCGCTAGGCGGTGTGTCCCTGGAGTGCCCCATCACGTGGTGTCTCCCAGCCCCCAGCCTGGGCCCCCAGGAGCGGCAGCGCCACCAGCTAGAGTTGGACAGCAGGGCGGAGGGGAAGAGGAGGGACTCGAGGCCACTTCTCCGGGCAGTTTCCGTGAAAGCCCGGGGCGCGGCCGCCCGCAGGAGGCACCGGCGCCTAGCACGTCGCCACCTCCCTCAACCCGCAGTGGCAGCGGTGCCCGTGTCCTCAGGAGACTCCAGCACTTGCAAAACACCGCGTACTACTCCGAGTACAGGCAGAACCGGGCGACTCTGTCCTGCTAGAGCCCCGCAATCTCGTTTGCGCCCAGGAAATGGTGACCTTGAACCCGAGGAGGGGCGGACAGACTGTGAAAACACACATTCAAGAGGACGGTTCACTCAGCCGCGTCCTCACCTTTCCCCAGGACCTCTCACCCCCACGTCCAATTAGCATCCCAGGTGCTCCGCCTGCCCGCCGCTCTGAGAAACGCCGACGCTTGCAAAGCGGGTGCGGGTGGGGGTGTGCAGAGAAAAGGTTACTTCTATTCAGCTCTCCAAAAGGTCCTTTCACGGTGCCGCGTGTTTTATACCAAGAACAAGCACCTCAAAACACACGAGATAGGTGTTTTTTTTTTTTTTAAGTGTCGTAAAATTTCAAGTCTGGCAGTTTGAGGTACTCCCTTAAATGATCTACAAATGTTCCCCTCTCCTAAAGTGAATCAGGAACCAGCCTTGGAAAGGTAAAGCAAGTAACTGGGATCATCCTTGTCCTTTGGGCGCTCCTTGATCCTGAGAAGCATGGACTCTGGCCACATGGTTGCCGGCCTGGAGGACCCCAGAGGCTGCGTGGAACCGCACGCTGCGCCACCGGGGCTGGTCACACCAATGAGGAGTCCTCGTGACTGCGAGCTTAGGGTGCACTCTGTAATCTGCCTTCAGTGGGACCAACGAACCCAATCACGTTGGGGCCCTCGACCTCAGTTCCCGCGAACACATTCTCAATTTTTCGATTCCTCATCTTCACATAAGGTATTTTCCCGCCTCCAGAAGTGCGACTTCACCAGTTTGAGTAGAGACATAGCCCTCAGGGGAACCCCTTGCCCTTCAGGCAGAGGCTGGCTCAGTGGCCACTCTCGAGGTGTTAGCTGCCGGGGACTAGAACGCTGTCGCCTGTTCTGAGCTGCGCCCTCCTCCCGGACGCGCCGGGGTCGCTGCAGGCCGCGCGAGGGCTGCGGGGCGAAGGGGGCTCATGCACTGGGGCCGACAGAGGGCCCAGGAGCTGGCGCTGGGGGAGCTTTGCGTGCAATTGCAGCCGTCGCGAATGAAGCCTCCGCACGGCCTCCTTGATGAGGTTCCCCGAGAGCACCAACTGCTGCAGAAGCCGGTGCGGGTCGTCGTCGCCGTTGCGGGCTGGAGGCTGTAGCCCGCGTCGGTGCTGGAGGCGGCGGGAAGCGGCGGCGTCCCGCAGCCAACCTCGCCGGCAAGGGCCCGACAGCGGCTGCGGGGAGCCCCGCTTGTCTGCTCCCAAAGGCCCATCAAGGCTGGGCTGAGGGGGCAATGGGGACAGTGCGCTGGGGCCTGCGGCAAGCTCGGCCACAAAGTAGGGCGCAGCGCGGCCCCGTACGCGGCCGCGGTCCCCGAGGGCACAGCGCCAGGACCCCGGGGGCGCTGGACCCCCAGCCTCGACCGACGCGGCCGGTAGAAGCAGCGGCTGCGCTGGGGACCGGGCCGTGTCCGCTCGCACCGCTGCCGGGGGCCGCGGGGGCTGCAGTGGCGGCCCCGGGGGCGCGCACGCGGAGGCAGGGCGGTCCCGCGCCGCGTCCAGCTGCAGCGTCTCGCCGATCTGGGCCACCAGCCGGTCCACCTCAACCGAGCCGCCCACAGTCACCGACTGTTCCAGCAGTAGGAAGCTCTCCTCCTCCTCCTCCTCCTCCTCCTCGCCGGCTTCCTCTTCCTCCTCCCTCCGGCACGGCATGGCCCCCCGCGCCGGCACCCGGAGCTGTGCGGTAGTCGTTGGCGGCTCGGCTGTCCCGGGGGCTCGGTGGGCCGCGGCGGAGCCGGGCGCGGTGCCGAGGCCGAAGCCGGAGCCCGGGCGGACGCGGAAGCCGGAGCCCGCCAGGCACTCGCGCCGCGCGCCTGCAGCCGCGGGAGCCGGAATCCTACCGGCTCGGGTTGATTTGTAAACAATGGGTGACGTCGCCGCCGGGCCCTACCACCGCGCCGGGGAGGTGTGCTCCGTACCTTTGGGGGCCGGGGCAGCCTCTGGGCAAGGGTCCTGGGTGAAGCCTTGCTGCCTTTGAGCTTTATAACCCTGAATGCTGTCTGCGGGAGGGACTCGGGAGCCGATCCTCGCTCTCTGAGCCTGGCATGATTGACATTTCCAGAAGATGGACACCGGCGTGGCCTCTGTTGGTTTCTTCCACACACAAGCACAGACACTTACACCCACACACCCACACACTTCTCTAGGCGCGTCAACTTGTCTGGTTTTGGCATTTACGCCTTTGAGGTTAGGGATGCCGGCATTTGGGAAGTGATGGCAGCGTGAGTGAGGCGAGTGATGGAGAGAAGGCGTCAGGCTAGGGATCTGTCTGGAGATTAGGGAAACGAGGCTGACAGATGAAAAGGAAGAAGGGGACCCTGTGGTGCGATGGGGGTGGCGGATTGGAAATTGGCAAAGAAAAGCCACTGATGAATGTGTTTTTTGATCTGGAGCGTGGGTATGTGGGGACCTGGACAGGGACTGGAGGGGAGGTTGCTCGTCTTGGGAGGGGCGGCGAGCTAGAAATTTCTTTTAAGAAGAATGCCTCAAACCAGTAGGGGAGTATCCTTTCTGAGGGGGGTAGCAGGAGAGGAAAATGGTCAGCTATTTGGATGGAAATGGAGACACGGCCAAGGTAACCCTCCAAGATATCGTGGTTGGTTTAATGACTAACCAAGACTTCAGTTTTTAAAAGAAAGAGAGAAAACGATCCTTTATCACCATATTGTTTGGAGTCTTAAAACCTGTATTCAAAATCCCAAACCCCTCAGGCCTAACTTCCGAACACTAATTACCCTTGTAGGTAGATTTCTGGTGGACCAACGTTTATAGGGGAGGGATAGCGACAGGATGATTGAAATATCCCAAAACTGGATTATGGTAATGGTTGCACAACTCGGTAAATTTTCTAAAAATCATTTATTTAAAAAAATTTATTTTTAATTTAATCTTTGACTCAATGGACCTGAGTTTGAGCAAATTTCAGGAGATAGCGAAGGACAGGGAAGCCTGGTGTTCTGGAGTTCTTGGGGTTGTGACGAGTTGGACATAACTTAGTGACTGAACAATTTCTTATAGAAGAAAAATTGCTTTACAATATTGTGTTGGTTTCTACCATACATCAACATAAGTCATCCATAGGTATACATATGTCCCCTCCCTCTTGAGCCTCCCTCCCACTTTCCACCCCATCTCACTGCTCTAGATTGTCACAGAGTGATTTGAGCTCCCTGAGTCCTACAGCAAATTCCCAATGGCTGTTTTATATATGGTAATGTATATGTTTTCATGCCACTCTCTCCATTCGTCCCACTCTCTCCTTCCCCTATGTGTCCAAAGTCTGTTCTCTATGTATGTGTTTCCATTGCTGCCCTACAAGTAGATTCATCAGTGCCATTTTTCTAGATTCCATATATATGTGGAAAATATATTTATTTTTCTCTTTCTGACTTACTTCACTTTTTATAATAGGCGATAGGTTCGTCCACCTCATTAGAATGGACTCAAATGCATTCCTTTTTATAGGTGAGTAATATTCCATTGTGTGTATGTTCCACAACTTCTTTATTCATTCATCTGTCAGTGGACATCTGGATTGCTTCTATGTTGCTTCTATGTCCTAGCTATTGTAAATAGTGCTGCAATGAACACTGGGGTACATGTGTGTTTTTCAGTTATGGTATTTCCTCAGGGTATATGCCCAGTAGTGGGATTGCTGGGTCATATGGTAGTTTTATTCCTAGTTTTTTTTTAAGGAATCTCCATACTGTTCTATTAGTGGCTGTATCAATTTGCATTCCCACCAACAGCGCAAGAGGTTTCCCTTTTCTCCACACCCTCTCCAGCTTTTATTGTTTGTAGACTTTCAAATGATGGCCATTCTGACCAGTGTGAGGTGATACCTCATTGTAGTTTTGATTTGCATTTCTCTAATAATGAGTGATGCTGAGCATCTTTTCATGTGTTTATTAGCCATCTGTGTGTCTTTGGAGAAATGTCTGTTTAGGTCTTCTGCCCACTTTTTGATTAGGTTGTTTGTTTTTCTGGCATTGAGTTGCATGAGATGCTTGTATATTTTGGAAATTAATCCTTTGTCAATTGTTTCCTTTGCTATTATTTTCTCCCATTCTGAGGGTAAAAACTCATTTAAGTGAAAGAGTTTTGTGCATGTAAATTACATGTCTATAAAGCTGTTTTAACAATTAGCCACAAAGTATACACATACAAACACAGAAGCCAGGCAGTTGAGAACTACTTCAAAATATGGAGCAGGAGACTAGCATTATTTGGAAAGAGACTGGAGCCTGGGGATCCAGGTAAGTAGAAACAAGGGTCTTGGTGGGCAGTTCCAAGATGATAATAACAGGAGCAAACCTTTAGGGAGGAGTGGGATGGAGGGAAGAGGTGGGAAGTTGTTAAAAAAGAGTTGGGCTTATTTTTGTCAAGTTTGGAGGCAAGAATGTGAGAATAAAGGAAGAGGCAGTATGAAGAAAGCAAATGAAATTTTAAATCTTGGAATTCTGGGCTTCTACAGGATGTCTTAAAAATCATCACCATATTTTAGTGAATTTCTTAGGATTTTCTGTATACAAGATCATATCATCTGCAGACAGCTGAAGGTTTACTTCTTTCTTTCTAATCTGGATGGCTTTTGTTTTTCCTGCCTAAGTCTCTGGCTGAAACCTCTAGAACAAGGTTGAAGAGAAGTGGTGAGGGCAGACATCCTTGTCTTGTTCCTGATCTTAAGGGAAAGTATTCAGTCTTTTACTATTAAGTATGATGTTGGCTCTGGGTTTTCATAAATGGCCTTTCTTAGGTTGGGGATGTTCCCTTCTTTTTCTCATTTGTTGAGCATGTTTTATTATGAATGCATCATTTCTCTTTATCTTTACTTGAGTTATAATTGACATATACCTTATGTAAATTGACGACATTCCCTCATTTATAATCATTAGTCATTTGAGAGTGGTCAGCGCAGCCAGTTATTAGCTAGAATATTCTGAACTTAATTAAAATTTTAAAATGAAAATAATTAGCAGCAGTTTAGGATTTTTGTTTTGATTTTTTTGGTTCAAAATATTGTAAGTCTCATGCATCATTGTGTATGTGAAAATGGTAAAACCACTTTGGGGAAAGGTCTGGCAGTTTCTTACAAAACTAAACATACACCTGCCCTATGATATAACTCCAAAGCTAGATATTTACCTAAGAGAAATGAAATCATAGGTCCATGTCAAGGCCTATAGGCAGATGAATATAGCAGCTTTATTCATAAAAGCCATAAATTGGAAAGTGTATAAGTGATTTATCAACAGGTAAATGGATAAAGTATAGCACATTCACATGATGATGGTGACAAAATACTCTTCAGCAACAAAAAGGGCTGGAGTATCGCTACAGGCAGTAACATGAATGAACCTCAAAAACAGTATGGTAATTGGACTTCCCTGGTGGTCCAGTGGCTAAGGTGCTATGCTCCCAATGCAGGGGGTCCTGGGTTTGATCTTTGGTTAGGGAACTAGATTCCACATACCACAACTAAAGATTCTGCAAGCCACAATGAAGATTGAAGATCCCGAGCGCCACAACCAGGATCCAGTGCAGCCAAATAAATAAAGGTTTAAAAAACAAAAACAGTATGCTAACTGAAAGAAGCCAGACAAAAAAAGAGCATATATGGCTTAATCCTCCTTATATGAAGTTCCAGAACAAGTAAAATTAATTTATGAAAACTGATTGCCTTTGGAGAGGTTGGGGCAGTAGCAGGGACTGACTTGGAAGAGCCCTGAAGGAGATTCAGGGCATGGTGGGAATGTTCTGTATCTTGATATCTTGATTCCAGGTTTCCCAGGAAACTCACTGAATCCTACACTTAGAATTCATTGTATGTAAATTTTACGTGAAAAGAAAAAACTGTTCACAAATATTGATTTCTAGTTAATAGACACACTGGGTGAGGTATACTGATGTTTGCTGTTTATTCTCAAGTGCCCAAAACCTTGAGATGGATTGATATACATAGATAGAAGGATGGTTAGGACAGGTAGGTATATGATAAAGCATGTATAGTGACATGCTAATGTCACTGTATTATCGAGCAATTCAAGTCCTAAGTATATATGTGGGAAATTTGAAAACATAGTCATTCAAAAATTTGTACCCAAGTGTTTCAGCAGCATTATTCATAATAACCTCAAAGTAGAATAACCTAAATATTCAGTAGCTAATGAATGGATGAATAAAATGTTATCTATTCATACAGTGGAATATAATTTATCATACAAGGTATGAAATACTGTTATATGCTATAGTGTGGTGAACCTGTATACAGTATGGGTGAAAGAGTTGGACATGACTGAGCAACTGAACTGACTGATGGGTGAACCTTGAAGACAAAAGTGAAAGAAACTAGACACAAAAGGCCACCTATTGTATGATTCCATTTATATGAAGTTTCCAGAATAAACAAATCTGTACAGACAGAAAGTGAATTAGTCAGAGGTTGGGAAGAGATGGGAATTAAGACTAATTGATGATGGGCATTAGATTTCTTTTTTCCCATTTATTTTTATTAGTTGGAGGCTAATTACTTTACAATATTGTAGTGGTTTTTGCCATACATTGACATGAATCAACCATGGACTTACATGTATTCCCCATCCCGATCCCCCCTCCCTAGATTTCTTTTGAGGCGACAAAAATGTTCTGGAATT